ACTGAAAATTATATAAAATATAAAAATTTAAATACACAGAGCACATATTTAACTTTATATCAACTTAAACTACACAAGAACTCCTTGGATACACATTCTTTAAAAGAATGATTTTGATATAATTCTGAAAAAAGCTATTAATCATTAGTTCTACTAGCTAAATTTACATAAAAAATATTTGATAAAGCAAAAGGCCGCGACAATATAGAGAGCAAAAGTATTGAAAAGTATAAACCAATCGTCTTCTCAGTTCATGTTTAGTATATAGAATAAAATTATGAAACACAATCTTTAAACAGTGTTGAAATAGAGAGATAGAAATTTGGATACGATCTTGTTCCCACAGAGATCGTGAAAAAAATTACGATGGAAACGTTGGGCACTATAACAGATAGTCTCAAAATTGTAGAACTACTTTTTTATTTTTACTAATCACTGGAAGCGATAGTCAAACTAAAGAAAAGACCAAGGATAGAATTAGTTTATGAACAGTGAATTAAAAAGAGAGTCCAGTACATAAGTATAATTAAAGTATTTTCGTATGATAAGCAATATCAGTCATTTTTTTTATTGAATAACCTATTAATGAAACTTTTTTCTTTCAGATTGTGCGCAAGATCGTATCAACATTGTACATGGTATTCTCTAAAACACTCATAAACATTCTTATTAGACACAATGTCTCTCAGCGAGATATATTTAGTGGTCAATTTTCTAACGAACAATTTCATCATGTAATATATCAATTGTATAATCGATCTTAGCTACATTTGTAAAAAAAAATAATTGAATTAGCTGCATAAGTATTCAAAAACAATGGTTTTTCTTCATTGAAAAAAATCATAATCGTAGTTTATTTTTATCAAGTATTATTATTAATGATTGTTTATAACATACAAATATATATTGAATTAAATTTAACAAATAATTGCATTATTCAAAAAAGAAAACTTCTTGGCTTGCTTGAAGTTTATGAACACATAAATTTTCATTCTCAAAACATCTTTCCTTGCTTTAAATTTAGGACAATGTTTAGTGTGACTATAATTCAGAAAAGACTAACAACCCATCCACATCCTTAAACTCAACAGGCAAGCTGCGCTAGGTAGAAGAATTCAACTTAGTAAAATCGAATTCCTAAAAAGACTGGAAAAGACTTTTCGTAATCTTAACTCTTGCGCAACATCATAATCGCACAGTAATGTAGTGTAAGCTAAAACAGAAAGCCTATCTTTACTCAAGATATTTTTGAGACTCAAAAGCTACTTTTATAGAAAGGACCTCTAAAAGTCTTTTCCAAATATGTTCTATTTCCGTGTCTTTTTGGAACTACTGTAGGATGAAATTTGTATCTTTCGTTTCATATCATAAGTGACTTTTCGAAATCAAAATGTGTTTGAATATATAAAATATATGTGACATTTTGTATGGTTTTATGAAAAGGTATTTTAATGGTTTATGTTGAAGCCGTTTAGAAGTGCATGATGAAATCAAAGAACAGAAACATTTTTTCTCTTGATATCATATCTAGCAAATATTTTCTTTTCTAAAGAAAGTAAGCAGTTTAAAATGTATTATTGACATAAATACTGTATGCATTATGTTTTCACACTTCTCATAAAACTAGATTCAACATTTCTGTTTAAACCTGTATTGTGATATCGTTCGATAATATTCGACTTTTAACAAGAATCTAGTGGTATGAAGATATTGTAAGCAAGAATTTTTTTTGTATATCTAACGTTATCTTATAATTCACATTACATTCATACAGGATTAGAAATCGTATGATGAGGTAACTATCGTTGATAATAAAGACCATACAATTGCTAAAATATAGTTATATTCGGATTGCATTTACAGAAGTTAAATATGGTTGTGATGAAGAACGGAATTGGAACCGATTTTATTTATTTATTTTTCATTGTTTGAAATTGCTGATCTCTTCTTTCAATGCAGAAATATTTTCCAACAAAACTATTGATTTTTAGGACTTTCAACTGATAATTCAAACAACTCTCAACTTTTCCAGTTCAAAAACATTATTGACTATTAGCTGTAACGTGTAAATAATATCAAAACAATATTAATAATAGTAAGAATGAATATTTTTTTGACACATTACGAATGTTTTTTAATAAAACATTTTTTTTCTATTAAATACTAGATGCGATGATTTTATTTCGTTCTATTTTACATGATACTATTATAATAACTTTTCTAAGGTCTGTCACGAACAACATGAAATTCGAACCATCATCAATGACCATAAATTCAGCCAATACATTCAAATTTTGAAGGTTATACACCAATAATCTCATCATATCTCTTCTACCCATGTAAAAAAAAGCTGAAAAAATATATGAATTTGTTAATCTAACGAAAGTAAAATTTGAATTGATTATTGACGAACTGAATCATTAATAATCAACCGTATTTTTTTTTTATTATGATGGGTTCCTCTAGTGTATACTCAGAATAAGTAATAGAATGTAGGCGAACAGTTAATGCTTCATTGAACAGTAAACTATATTACAAAAAAGGTAAAATGAGTATCCCGATTGTTTTTACCAACACAGATTACTCTTGGCAATAAACTAAACATACGAATGTAAAAAAGAAAAAGTTTCATAAATCTGATTAAATTCGATTCGAATGGTATTGATTGAGTAGATTTAAACATGGATTCTTTTGTCTTAATAAAAGATCCTAGATGATTCTATTAGTTAGTTTCAATCGATTTCCAAATGCAGGACTAATCAATTATTCTGATTTTTGACGGAAAAATTCATTTGAATAGATGATGCATCTGAAAAGTCGATTTTAACAAATTCAATATAAAGTTGAATTGATTCGATTAGGTTATTAGTTCGCTTATTTAGTCTTTTGGTTTTAATTGATTTTTCCCGATTGTTTTACGTACAAAAATCGATTTTAATCTGATTTCTAACGGTTTGTTTTTACATGCGTAAAAATCTTTTATACTTTTTTCTCAATAGTTTTAGATTATAAGAACACGTTAGTTAGGTTGATCCAATACTCGATAAACTCAATATTCTTTTTTCGAAACTTCATCGTGCATTTGTAGTCAAAAGCATAAAAAGAACATTAAAAAAATAAATGCTCGTTTTTATGACCATATCTTTCTTTTTTATCATCGATTACAACTGGTATTATTCGGTATTTTCATCCTTTCGTCCATGAATATGCAATGCCCTTTTCTTTTTCGTTATTTTTTAGTTTCACAAGAAACGAAAAAATCAGTTGAGGAGTGCATTCATCCTGCCTCAAATGTATAGTCAACTACTTAAAAAAAGAGCACTAGGCACTGAAAATAGAGAATGGAAAAAGGCTACAGTCAATAAATAGAAGAGAGAGAAAAAAAGACAGAGAAAAAGAGAAACGATGCACCTTTGTATTCGTAAAGGCGTCTCTCATATTAATATCATCTAGTTGGCGAACGGATTTTTTTTTCTCATATACCCGGACTGATAACATAAAACCTCAACACATCGAATATACAGAAAAACAAATGAGTGCGAAAGCTTACAGTCGATCGATGGGTTCTCATGAACATTCATTTCATCCATCGGATGAAATAATTGGTGAGTCAAATCAAGTCACATATTTAAAGAAAATGGAGAACGTCTGTAATAAACTTGTTTTTATTCTATTCATTTAAATTGAATTTACGGCGTAAATAGAAAAAGAATGATTCTTTTTTACTTTTTATTAATATGAAGAGTACTTGTTTCTTTTTTTGTATGAATTAATATCGATTGGTAACAAATGACGAGGACATCACCGAGACTGTTTCACGAATTGAAATCCTGTATAATCAGTAAAAATAGATATGATCAAAATAAGAAATAGTCTAAGAGTTCGGACCTAGTGGTTCTCCATCCCGAGTTAAAACGATTCTATTTGAATTATAGTCGATAGCAAATTACTTTTGATCTTATCTTCATTTAAAATTTTATTCGATCTATTTTAAATAGAATGTCCTTGCCTATCGAGATGACTCAATTCGAGTGAACCACTTGTTTGAAACGAGTTCGAAAAAAAATTGCCAATTCAATATTGTGATTATGTTGAGGGAGACGTAGAGTAATTACAAGTGATGAAGTCCATGAAAATAATGACTTTTTCTTCAGTAATTACTCCACATCTTTCATAACATGATCAATTTTCTTTAGGTCAGGTTTCACAAAATCGTTGCAATCTGCTTCCAATGCAGCGTTGAATTGGTGGATATATTTTTTGAGATTCGACTAGTAGTGTTCGTTTGAAACTAGCGGCCCATTAGAACTGAACCATGAGTATAATTATTTTGATACTGACCTCGATGGACAAAAACATTTCATCTAAATCCACATCAAATAAAATTTTGATGAAGCGATTTTTTTAAACGTATAAGATAAAAGTAGTCATGAACTCAAAGCTTTTAAATACTTCCCATCCTGCAGTTTATGAAACTTGAGAGTATCTAAATACTGGAGTCACTATCAAAAGTTTTTTTTTCGAATAGTGCTAATCTTGTAAAATCCACGGAACTTCGTAGGCAGAACACTTTTAAGTGAGAATAAAAGCATACATTTCTATATGATCGAAGTACTAATAAAAACAAAACTGGAGCCCGATTGGCCGTACCACATAAAAGAACACAAATGAGAAAAACTGAAACTTTTTGTTTGAAAATTTGATTTTTGAAAAAAGTGCACGAAGAGTTATACAAGGTGTTTCAAAAGTCCGGTTGAAAAATAAATTCGTATGACTCCACTATTTATTAAACTTGAATAACGAATTTTTTTTACGTGACAGGTACCACTGTGGAGTTTTTATTTATACGGGCGAACTTTACAAATACTGTTCACAGTTATCACTTTCAACTGAAATATAAAAAAATCACTCTTTTTTCGAATTAAAAAAAAAAATATGCAGTGTTTCTCTTTTAATGCTTCAGTTTTTTTGCGTTTTTTTTTGTGGTGCTGATACCAGTATATCTTGTGCTATCGTTTATATTCATTTGTTTTGATATGCCATTGCCAAAAAAGAAGCCTAACAGTGTCAAGTCTGATCATCACGAAGTTCATAAAATCGCTTTAACCTTTAGAGCGATGATTGGTAAACCAGAAGACATCAACAGATCTCATGAGCCTCATTGACATCGAACTTGACACTGTTAGGCTTCTTTTTTGCAATGGCATATCAAAACAAATGAATATAAACGATAGCACAAGATACGATCGTATAAACGCCCCAAAAAAAAGCAAAAAAACTGAAGCATTAAAAGAGAAATACTGCATAGTGTTTTTTTAAATCGAAAAACGAGTGATTTTTTATATTGTACTTGAAAGTGATAACTTTAAACAGTATTTGTAAAGTTCGCTCGTATAAATAAAAAACTTCACCGTGGTGCCTATCACGTAAAAAAAATTAGTCGATCAAGTTTAATAAATAGCGGACTTATATGAATTTACTTTTCAACCAGACTTTTGGAACACTGTAACATATATCGTTTCTTTTAAGCCAAAAATCGACTGTTTTTAGCGAATATTTTGAAAAAATGATGAGAAACTGAAAATTTTCGTTCAAAAAAGGGGAATCCTTAAAGAATGAGTATTACATCACAAAATTTGCTGTAAATCATAATTACTCTTTAACGATCGGTTCGTATCGCGTAAACATTCGACAAAACTCACTTTTATTGCCTTCAAATTTGCTAAATATTTATTTAATATCATTGCCGAACAAACAGTCAAAGTTTCACTGTGAATGAAATCAGTATCTCTTCTTTTATTGATGAAGTCATTAGGTTTTCCATAATATGTCACACTACAAAGTGTTAAGTTTTATGAAAGAAAATCATTTAATATTCATATAATAAACTTTTAAGACATGTAAATTTTCGAAAACATTTCAGTTAATTTACTCCCAAAAGGAATCGATTTCTTCACCTCAGTCCAAGTCAATGATTTTGGCAGGTTCCCATCGAAATAATTGGAACTTGGAGGCAGGAACTTAGTGTTTGAATTCAATCATCGGTTTCCTACTTACAAGTTACTACCACTTTCCAGAGTTTAAATAGAAATCTTTTTATCTTCCATTAATATTTATAAAATTCTATTCATTTATTTTCTTTTATAAGGTTTTGAAAAAGCATCACGACTATTAATGGTTGGCGGTGGTTGTTTATTAATTGTCTTGATATTTGGAATTATTCTTTGTCGTTTAGATATATCGGCTGGCAAGAGTAAGTCAAATAAAAAAGGTTTTATTATTATTATTTCATATCTCTCTTTGTTTTTATTTTTTCTAATACTAGGACGACGAGCACAGAGTTTTCATCAAGTCGAAAGTTAAAATAAAATCCTCAAAAGAAAAACAATTCAATAAATATTTCTTTCTTGTATTAGCTTTGCTTTTATCTTACTAAAATAAAAAAAATAAAATAGTTAACATATCTATTAAACTTTTTATTTTCTTCTTTTTTCAATGCTGCATTGATGAATGTTGTTATACATCATCAAAAAAAAAAAAAAAGAATGATGAAAAAAAATGAATAAAAACACAAATTTACAAAAGCCATAATTTTGAATAAATATTATCTACACTTCTTTATATTGTGATGAAATGCATATTTCATTTTCTTAATTCGTTTCTTTGATGTTAACCTTAATGGAGCACAACCTTTTTCTAGAAATATTTGATTCAATATTGGCCATTGTATATAAGTATTCGAATAAATAATTTTCATTGTTCTTTTTGTCTTGAAGCTTTTATATGCAACACTCTGTCTTGCGTGCATGTCGCTTGATCTTTTTCGACACACGCAGACGGTGTTGCATAATCCTCAGCTTGGATGCTTTTTATAATAACTATAGAAAAGATCGTAATCAACCAAGCAAACGATTTGATGATCAATACGATCATAATCAGAGTATAAAAATAATTTACGGTGACAATCAAGACTTGTTGCTGCCTGTTTAAAATAGTCAGCTTATTAATATATAGTTGAAAAAAAACAAAAGAAATTTATTTCTTACCGTGCCACCAAAAATTGTTGTTGTAAATTTGCCTGGATTAAAAATGTTCAAAATTTTACGAATTATTTCTTGATATTGATTGTATGGAACATTTGTTTCAAAGCTAACATATGAAAAATCAGGTTCCGGTGTTATATGTATTGTAAAATAATGACCATCGGGCAATAAACCATTCATTGAATAACCACAAGGATCAAATAAATAATCAAAAATTTTTGCATTTGGAAATATTTTATCAATGCCGGCTTTCTAAAAAAACACACTAATGTGAATTATTCCAATTTGAAATTTATTTTTAAAAAGATTAAGTACTTTTGTTGCTTCAGTAGCTGAACTTGTATATTCTTGATAGAAAATTTTCATCTTTTCCGGATCCAATTCGGTCATAATGACCTCTAATGTTTGATCCGATTTTGCATTAATGCGGGTTTTATTAAGTGTATACAAATACCTTAACGATAGAAACAATCATTCAATCATAATTTTCATCAACAACACACCCAAGGGATTTTTACAGTATCATGCATGCTTTCATGCTTAAATACTATGATATTCAATGCTATTTCTTGTTGTATAGCAAAAAAGTGTTTGAATATTGAATTCAGAAAAAAATTCAAAAAAAAGTACGTGAAAATATGAAATTTTGTGTTATCAAGCATTCATTTGCATTTAATACACACAAAAAATACATATTAAGAGTATAATGTATAGATTTAAATGCTAAGAAACTTTTGAAATTCTTTTTCATTGGCAAAGTAATAAGTATCAGCAATTTGAACAGATTAACATTTTTTAAGTTTGAATATTCGAAAATTAATTAATAACAGTCTTCGTAAAAAACAAATAAATTTAATAAGGGTCTTAATTTTATCCAACAAGCGAAAGAATATCCAAATTTAAAAAAAAAAGAGTAACAAAACTTAATTCCTTTCATCGATTTTCTTAACGAAATTTTATCTCAAGAAACAAATATCATCTCATCTATACACATCTTTGGCGTTCATACTAAACTAATGGTTTGTTGAACTCACCAACAATCAACATTAGAACGACCGAGAACATAGGCGCAACCTCCTGGACAAAAAAAGTGAGAAGTTACATAATGATTTCATGAATCATTATTTACCTGCGAAAATTGAGTCAAGATAAGCAATCTAGAGATAGAAAAATAAAACTTTTTTACACTAGAAAAATTTCATAATTATTAGTCATACTTCATGATCGAAACTTGTGTGTGGTGTTTTTTGCAATTCAGGTCGAAGAAATTTACGACGACTATAGAAGAGTTGCTAAAGAAAATAAATTAAATCAACGATAATATTTTTGAATGAAAATAAATAATTGTATTTTATTTTTTTACATCAACAATATCGAATCCACAATAATCTCGTGCAAGCTCCAACATTGGCTGAACAGCATGAAGTAATGTTGTTTCACCGCATGTTTTTAAAATAAAATGTGTTTGAAATATAAACATGCTTGATTCACTTAATACATATGTATCCGTTGTAGCCGATTGTGCATATTTAAGAACTTTACAATTAACCAAATTTAATACTTCTTCAATGATTTCCCTTTATAAAAAAATAAATAGTATCGTTTTAATTGTAATCAAAACATTTTATACATTAAGCTAATTATTACCGTGGTATGTTACGTAAATCATTAGATAGTATTTCGTTATCCAAATAATTATTATTACTTGTAGTAAACCAAATTTCCAATAATTTTTCAGCTCCTTCAAAAAAGTGTTCAGTCATTGTATTCGAATATCTTACGAAGTAGTTCGCTGTTGGGCGACAAACGATTACAGTTGAAAAAGGTAGTTTATTTTTAAAGGTGTAACGCTATGTGATTTGCTTTATATATAGTACAAAATCATGATTCATCCTTTTTTCTCTCTCTCTCTCTCTTCCTTTTTTGTCTACTATTCTGTATCATCAATCATGATGAGAAAGAACGCAATAATTGCAAAATTACTCTTATAAATCGCTGACGGGAAAAAAAGGAATCTTCTTGATTTGGACTGTTGTTTTCTCTTTACTTTTTTCTTTCTTAGTTGAGAAAAAAGGAGGAAAAAGTCAGCCTGCTCATATAGAGAAACGCAAAAAAAAACACGTCATCAATCGTCGATAGTATTTTCGTTGTTTGAGTTATATTCTATGTGTTTTTTTATTAGAATCTTGTTATTATATCTATTTTTATGTATACCATTCACATGGAAAAACAAAAACAAATTTTTTTTTTTCCATGTCAACCTACCTTCTATCGTCATGGAACTATATTATTTAACATATTCAACCGGCAAGAAGAAAAAAGAATTAACATATTCTAATATAAGTCACAAAAAATATTGTGATTTGCTCGCTTTCTGACGTATGTATTCTTGACGTCATAGATTGCCTGATGGTTTGAACTTACTTGTGATCGATTAGACAAAAACTAAGTGTGAATTTCTTTGTTTTTTTTATGCAAATTAATATTATTCATCAAAAAGAAAAAGAAAAAAACAAACAGAACCATTTATGAGTACATGTGTATTTGATACCGATTTATCAAGTAATGTGTCCGTTGAGAATATAAGTGCAAGAGAATATTAAAAAAAAAAAAAGAAATGAATGACTAGCTAGTGCACACGAATTAAAAAACCCTATATTTACAGAAAAAAAGAAGCGAGAGAATATCGGACAACAACATTCTCATAATTGAGACATAAAATGAAGTAAGAAAAAACATCACATGCGTGAACCACGTTCTTGTAAAATCTAGAATAAAGAAAAAATGAAATTCTTTCATTAAAATATTATTTCTTTTTTACTTTAACACGTTCAGATACACAAGTATTATTATCTTCTCGTGTTCCTCGATCATATTGCTTTGAAACAATACATAAAAATTCACCTTCAGGATACATATAACTTGAACCAACAGGTGAATGACCAATTAGCTAAATAAAAGTTTAATTCAAGATATATATAAGTTAGTTTTGAAAATAAGTTACTTGTTCAAATTTCCAACCATCACTTAATGATGACATTAATTGCGTTACTTCTTTTTCTTGACATTGTATTACTCGATAAACACGATTTGTTGCACACTAAAATAATCTTTGTTTTAAATTAATAATCATACAGATCGTCTCAATTTATTTTATCAATATGTTGAAATTCCTTGTATTGTTCATGATGATCATCAAATAGAAATAATTTCATCCTCATATGAATTAGATACAAAGAAATGTGTTTGTTTGTTTACTTTCTTTTTTACTACGTCTTGAGAATAGACAAAGTAAGGTAGATAGGCGTACAATGTCAAGTATGTTTATTTAACTACGCAAAAGTTAGAGTGAAAATTTTAAGAGACTAAAATTAGTTACAAAACTTCATGCATAATTTTTCTTTTGCTGAATTTTTGAAGGATAAAATCAACAAGTACGAAATATATTCTATATTATTTAGAATCGATAAGAAAATAGAGCACAAACAAACTATGTACTGCAGATCTAATACTATTTTCTCTGTTTAACTGATAATCTGAATGCTTACAAACGATTATTTAAGATTTCCAGAAATAGTATTCAGCATAGAAGTCATGACAAATCGTCGAACTTTTTTTTTTTTTACTAACTGTTCGTTATCATATCCCGTCATGTTTGATCCAACAGTATTACTTTAGAATAATGATGTTCCATTTTATTCTGTAACTGGCGTTTTCAAATTTATTTGCGGAGTTAGTATATCAGCTCAGGGTAGATTAAGTCCACACAAAGAGTTACTTTAATATATTCTTGAAAATATTTTAGGGTAGATTGAGATTACTCTTGACTTCGCTACTACTCAAACTGATGTAATATATTCTTTCTTTTATATATGAAAATTTTCTTCTCTTTTGAATTCTGTCAGACGTCAAAACACTAATATTAATAATCGGCTTTAGAAGACAGATTGGAAAAAAACTTATTTTTTTTTGAGAATTTGCATTATATTATTGATAATCTTACTCTAAATCTCGGAAGAACACTGAAGTTGATAAGACGAAGAATGCATATTGTATTTTAATCAGAAATATTTGCGAAAAATTTTCTATCAAACTCCGAAAAATAAATGTATTACAATTTCAAAAAAATTTTTCTTCATTTAAACAAGAAACATTTAAATAATAAATGCTTTTTTAAAAATCTATCAAATTCTTCTATTTTACTTTCTATAAAATGAAAACTTACATCATTAAATTTTCGTCTATCTCTTTCACGAATTTTTTCTTTCACAAGTTCAATTAATGATCGTATATTATAAAATTCAGCTTCTTCAAGTACACCTTCTTCGGCAAGATTTGTTTCAAGAATTAATTTACCATGCCGAAGATAACTATATTATATAATAAATATACAAATAAACAAGGAATTTAAAAAAACAAAAAAAAAGGAATTTCTTCTTACTTTAATACAACATTAAAATAATTTGGATCACGATCAATTAAATAAGCTCCTTTATCATCCTACATATGAAAACAACAACAATAATATGATTCATTAATTAAATTTAATACATTAAAAAAAAAAACACACATACAATATCAGTTTTAAGATCAGGTTCATATTGACAAAGACGACATAGAAATGATTCTTCTTTTGATAATGTTGAACGTGTTGTCATAAAATGTTTACCACCAACATTTAATAAAACCCAATCACCTTTAGAATTTGATGATAATGTTGAATTTAATATTGGATGAGAATCTATACTAGCAACTGAAATTGTATCACCATTTTGTTGACTTGAACAATTGTCATTTGTTAACATTTTTTCATAAAAACAAAAAAAAAACAAGCACGAGAATCAAAGATACTATCTAGACGTTCGAATAATAGAAAAAAACACAATATGTTGTATAGAGTGAACATTTATTCATTACTAAATATATCCAATACGATTTTACTAGATGGCAGTAGTCAATTGTATAAATTAAATGAACCGATGTATTTGAAAATAGAATTTTCTAGTTCATTTTATGTATCAATTTATTACGTACGTGTATGAATGTTTGATTAAAATAAGAACTAATGTAAATTATTCATTTATATTTGTCCTTGTATTACATGAAGAGTAGCAAAGGCGCATACGTATTTTCTTTTCATTTCATGTCCCAAAATTAGGTTTTGCCATATTCGGAACAATGATTGGTTATTTTTGTCAAATGAGAGCAATTTTCTTTCCTTCGCCTGTACATAAATAAATAAATATATATATATATATTCATATCTTGATAACTTGACATATCAATTTACGGCTGTCTTTCAATATTAGTATCATAAAAAATATTGCTATCAGCATGGACATGTTTCATATATTTCGGGAACCTTTTAATGGTGATTCTTTCGACGATATTCGAATACCATATGCTGGACAGATTCCACCACCTGGTTATACCCTGGTTCAAGATTCCATAACATACTTTCATCCATATTCAGATCCAAATATGTATCCTCCAATATATAACTATTATTCATATTGATTTATGTTCGTTTTTTTTTATTATAAAATCATAATAAAAAAAATAATAAACACAAAAAAAAAAAAATACACAGTGCTCGTTTAGATAAATGTACATACTGCTCGTCTGGTTCAAAATACATTATTTAATTCAAGAAGAAAATAAAATACTTCAGTCTATATGATTTGATACTGAAGCAACAGCATCAGTATTTGATGATGATTGTTGAAGAACTTTCTGAAGCATATTTATAATCTCCATATTAAATTGTGCAACATCTGCTGCTGCAAAACCAAAGTCAAGAAAACCATGTGGCCATTCATCGACTACAGTTAAATGATGAGGAACTTTGAGATCACGTAATCGTCGTGCAAATTCAATATTATCATCAATAAATGGATCTCAAAAAAAAAAAAGAGATCTCTTTTAAAATAAACTTCTCGTTATTCAATTATAACTTACCACGCGCACATGGCTAGAATATAAAAAAAAACAAAAAAACAGAAAAAAAGGATTATACTATTTATATTTAAAAAATGGTGTTTTCTTTTATCTCGTGTTAAATAAAAACAAAAAAACAACAAAGAAAAAATAAACATATCAAAAGATTTATTCATCGATTATATCTGTAGGCATTGACATTGGAAAAATTGGATTTGTTAATGGTGCTAAAGCTTTTTTTTTACGTTGCTTTTTTTTCTTTGATGATGATGAAAGTAATGTTCCATTAATATGATATCGACGTGCGAAATCGTTCATAATATGATCAGTTGTTTCTTTACAAACACTATTTGCATTATAAAAATTTAGAAAACCATGTGTTACATTCTGTACAATAACTATATGATGGTCAACTGATAATGAACGTAAATGACGTGCAAATGTTATTGAATCATCCAATAAAGGATCTTGATGACATGCCTGAAATGTTTAAGTATTTAACAGAAAAGAATGTTTTTTTTTCTTTTTATGAAAAAAAAAATAAACACAAATCGATGATTTTGATTAGAAAAATAGAACTAAAAAAATATTAATAAACATCAACAAAAAAAACATTAACTTACAATAAGATAAGTTGTCGGAAATTGTCGTAGAATATCGTCTGATGCACGTAATGGAGACATATATGGATTATTTGGTAAGGTTGATTCACGCAGTTTTCGAAGAAGATAAGCTTGACGTGAACCCATTATATCACCTGATAAATAAATATAGATTAGAAATAGAATGATATTATTTTTCTTTTTATTTGAACATACTTAATTGA